CCCTTGAGGGCGATCTGCTCGGCCTCGTCCAGCCGGTGCTGCAGGTCCTTAATGGTCTGCTCCATGTTCTTCTTCATGCGCTCCAGGTGGGCGCTCGTGTCCTGCTCCTTCTTCAGCTCCTCAGCCATCATGGCGGCCTGTGGGCAGGGCAGAGGTGTCAAGGAACAAGGGCCCACCCTGGTCTCTTTCCCCCAAAGGTCTCTTCTCTCCCATCTGGGTGTTTGTTCCCTCAGACCCTCAAGCCTACAGAACTGCAAAGTCAACTTGGTGTTACAGCATGGTGGCCTTGCCTGGACACAGGAACTTATTTGTTTTAGGGAAAGGAGAAGAGGGATGGTCACTCACATCTGTGATGGCCTTCTTGGCCTTCTCTTCAGCATTCCTGCACTCCTGCACGGCCTCCTCCACCTCTGACTGGAGCTGGGTCAGATCCAACTCCATTTTCTTCTTCTGGTTGATGAGGCTGGTATTCTAGAAATGAATAGAGAAAACAATCAAATACATATTTTGCTTTGTTACCTGATTCCACACCTTTATCCAGAGGGAATTAAAGGTGGTCATTTTTGCAGACAATAAGCTCTGCTTTTAGGATATTCCTTGTTTCCTTTTTTCCTATGAAAATGGCTATGTTCTAAACATTGTATCTATAATTACTCAGCGCTGAAGTAAGACCTCAAAGAGCAAAAGATCTGCACTTCTGCTCCTGAACTTTTTAGTAACATGTTTAGGTTGAAGTATGATAATATTCTAAGGAAAATGGAAACAACATTCTTACTAGGACAGTATTCGGAAGTGACTATAGTTACAGCAAGAATATGGTGGGGCGAAGAAGAGGGAACAAGATCAGAAGATGACATCATTCCCACACATATTAGATTACCAGAACAAAAGTCCATAGGCCACTGCAATAGATGGGCACAAAAAGTCATTGCAGAGTAAAACTGAAAGCATTGTGGGTGGGATTGCAGAAGAATGGTGTTCTATTCAGAATTTGTCCAGTGTCCAAGCAGTGCAGTTATACTTCTTTAAACTACCAAACTTTGATCTTTACAGACCAAACTGGAGGTAGTCTTTTAGATCAAGGATATCAAATAACAGCATGCATTCCACTACTCCCAGATTTGTAGCTTTGGCAGGCATCGCCAATCAATCATGACATTCTTCACTTTTAAGTCTTAATCTCTTTCTCAAGATAGTGGTTCTAGCAGCCACTACTCACAGATGTGAGTTGGCCCTAGTGATGAAATGATTTGTGACCCCAGTTAGACACACTCACTTAGAACATCTGGTTTCTACAAATGTCCTGGGCTCTCACACTCAGCAGGTTTCCCCATGGCAGCCCTCCTCACCTGGGAGTGCAGCAGCTGCACTCGCTCACTGGTCTCGATCAGCTCCTGCTCCGCCAGCTTCCGAGATCGCTCCGTCTGCTCCACCACAG